GGTGATATTGTTCCATATACTACTATAAGGAAACTAATAGTTGGATTGTTAGAGGACATTTTTGCAAAGAGAAATTAAAGTAGATTTTTTAAGTGATATTTAAAGGTTATATGAAATATTAATTGTATACTAAAATTAATTTTGCATTAATTTTATATCATATGCTAATATAAGGAAACAAGATGCTTTGTAAATGGCTAAACATGGTGCTTTGCAAATCTCACTTCCCTTTCAACAACCATTGCTCTAAAGCAGATAATAATAATAATAATAGAATGCTACATGAAAATGGAAAACAAACATCAAATCGTTCGATTGAAACTTACATATCAAGAGATAACTTATATATCGTTCGATTGAAACATACGCTAGATTGTGGCGTCATCTACCTTATACCAAGGTTCATTAGCCACGTGATTAACAGGTCAAGGTTCATCCATTCTCAAGCGTGTCCGATTCCTCTAGATCCTATGAGCTTGTCTCTTACGAGTTTCGTCACAAGTTGGCAACGTTTGTATCAATAACAAAGTAAAAAGTATTGTCATTGTTTAAAGCTACAAATCACCCATGGATGCTACAAATCATCATTACCCATCAATGTGCCTTTTGTCCCTATTGTGCGGGGTAGTAGAGCAACCACATCTCCAATGCACTCTCCGGTATGGCAGATCTTGTTGCAGCTGTAGGCGTTCAGACCTCCTAAATAGTGTCTCAGGCATTTGTTCATCCTCATCATTATCGGAGAGGTCCACCACAGAAGTCTGACCACATCTCGAACAAAAAGATTTGTAGATGTTGTGGAAGGGTCTTGATGAGGAGCAGTATTTGCGTTTATTTGGAAAAACTAGCGAAAAACCCATCGAAGACCCTAATAAGTCATAGATACGATCAAGTTTTCGCTTAACTCATTATTCATCCTAAATGACATATGTGGCCTAACAAAGGATGAACCAACACTATAGTCGAATCCGAGTAAGGGAGTAGGCATCACATGGAAATGACCCCCAAAAGCAGGAACACATGGAGGTGCGGAGAACGCTCTAAAATGGAAAAATTGAGTGACAATGGTAGGATCATAAGGAGCATGTATAAGAATAAGATGTAAATACTTGAAAATCCTAAACAAGAAAATGCAATAATGCTTACTAAATAGTACTTGTACTGAATAGGCAGAGGCAATACAATTAATACTAATAACACTATTAATTAATAAACTATTACTAATTAAACTAATTCAAATTCTAATCAAATGTAATAAATTAATCTAAACTAAATAAAACCCGGAGGCTTGAGCTATAGTTGATTGTGCCGGTTTCCCTGTGATTTCGCATCTCATTTCGTCCTTTTTTGTCCTTTCTCAGGTCCGTGCAACCTCTTTGGCTGTTGGTGCGCTTTTCCTCATTTCTTCTTTTGTTCCCTTCTTCCGATTGTGCCCTTGTCCTGGTTTCTTTGTAATTTTGTGGTCAATTTTGTCCTTTTGTTTCCTGTCCATCTTCCGCTGCTGCAATTGTTATCAGACTTTATTGACAAAAATATATTAATTTATCGATTTTATTTATTAACTTCCTTCAACATATAACTTCCTCCTTTAACTTTGTATTAATGTCTCATTCTTCAAAATATAATTTCTTCTGCTCTTTTATATTTATTAACTTTCTCCAAAATATATATATTAACAAAGATATTGATTTTCTAAAAAATATGTGAATCAATAAAAATTCTGTGTGCATCTAATATATACAGGACAATATAAATTGTATTTGTTACATTATCTATTCGTTGATTTTGAGTAAGATATTGATTAATCAATAAATAAATTGCTTTATGATTAAATAAATATTTATTCATATATGCTATTCAATCAAGCATTATTAATTTTCGATATCAATGAGCTAACGGACTCTTCGAAATTGTGTTATCTTTAAATTTTAGAATCTTATTAATTCCCAAAAAATTAATGCAAGTACTATTCTTTCCAGCAACATTTATTTACAAATTAATCGATCTAATACTCATTGAATTCAAAAATGATTATTCGATTAATAAATACGAATATATGATTTCTTAATTTCTAATATCACATTGTTAAAAATATTTAGTTTATATATGTTATATATATTTATTCATATATGCTATTCAATCAAGCATTATTGAATTTCGATATCAATAAACTAACGGACTCTTCGAAATTGTGTTATCTTTAAATTTTAGAATCTTATTAATTCCCAAAAAATTAATGCAAGTACTAAACTTTCTCCAAAATGTGTATATTAACAAAAATACTGATTTTCTAAAAAATATGCAAATCGATAAAAATTTTGTGTGCATACAAATACGAATATATAATCTTTTTTGGGCTATACAAATCTATATATATTCTTGCATCCTATCTGTGTGCCTTTTTATATATATATATATATATATATATATTCATTTTCTCCAAAAGATATATGTCGACAAAAATAATGATTTTCTAGAAAATACATATATATATATCTATTGATAGAAATTTTGTGTGTATCTAATAAATATAAATCAATTGTGCCACTTTGTATTAGCTTCTATTAATGCGACCAATTGTTTTTAACAATATAGGATAATTTCCCTCTATTTCAAAAATGTTACTTCGATAATATTTGTTAACTACTGAATTATTAACTTAAAGTTTTTGCATTTTAAGATTGAGCAACATAATATAAATGCGGTCAATACAAAGTGATGATTAATTGTGTGTCTTTTTATATATGTTCATTTTCTGCAAAATATATATATATCGATAGAAATATTGATTTTTTGAAAAATATATATATCAATGAAAATTTTGTGTGTATCTAATAAATATAAATCAATTGTGCCACTTTGTATTAGCTTGCATTAATATGACTAATTGTTCTTAAAAATATAGGATAATTTCCCTCTATTGCAAAAATGTTAGTTCGTTAATATTTCAAAAATTAAAAAATTGGAAAATATACACCATTGAAGACTAAAACAAAAAAAGACAAACAAACCCTTATATATACAGACAAAAATATACATGATGTAACTCAAAAAAATATATCATATTGACACAAGAATCACAAGACAAATAGGAACACTACAAATATAACGAACAAACAAAACTAGAAAAGATAGACATGACGAAACAATACTAAACAATCATACAAACTCAAATAAAATATTAAATATAGATCTACATATATATATACACACATATATAAATAAATAAATAATAAAAATATAACAAACAAACAAAACCACAAAAAAATAAACACTTCAAAAATTAAACCATTATATCACCTAAAATAAAATACTAAACACACACACACACACACATATGCATACATGCATATTACAAAATATCTCGTGTACCTATATCTATATATTAATACAAAACTCACTATGACATTAAGTCACATAAAATAAGTCACATAAACATCAAACAATAAATATTTAAAAATTCTACTGCAAATTACAATGATTAAACTCTATAATTTTCATGTGCAATCATTTCTATTTCTTATAAAAAATTTATACACATCACCTTACTTTCAATAATATCCATTTATCAATAAACTATTAATATATAAAATCTCTCAACTCTCAAAAGTAATATTATCCTTTACTTATTTAGATTCTATTAATTAAAAAAAATACAACTTCTATCTATCTCAATCACATTCATTCATAACTAAATCAATATCATCTTTACTTATCGAAAAAAATCTACTTAATTAATAAACACATTTTTTACCAAGCTATAACATCAAATTATTCCAAATTATTAATTTATCTCATCACACAACACCCAAACTATATCAAAATTTGCCAAAAAAATATCTAATATCCATTTATCAATAAACTATTAATATATAAAATCTCTCAACTCTCAAAAGTAATATTATCCTTTACTTATTTAGATTCTATTAATTAAAAAAAATACAACTTCTATCTATCTCAATCACATTCATTCATAACTAAATCAATATCATCTTTACTTATCGAAAAAAATCTACTTAATTAATAAACACATTTTTTACCAAGCTATAACATCAAATTATTCCAAATTATTAATTTATCTCATCACACAACACCCAAACTATATCAAAATTTGCCAAAAAAATATCTATTATCCATTTATTTTTCAACAAACTTTCCATTCTTTTATATCCTTTCCATAGACTTTTCCACTGCAACAATGCACACTTTCTCATCCTAGCTATCCAAATTATCATCATTCTAAAATACATAAACTACCAACGCCCAAAGTACAATAAATTATAACACTCTCAATGTAATTATCCACCTAATTTTCCATCTTGTCAAAAAATAATATATATTCCATTAATTTAAATAATATTTACTTATCACTAAATTAAAATCAAAAAACAAAATTTTTTGAAACCAATATTATCCATCAAATCTTTTGATCATATTAATTTTAAAAAACACTATACAAATCACATCAATTTTATTATATCTATTGATAAATAAATCAATCCAATATATCACTCATCTATCCAATTATTATACAAAATACTCGAAATCTATGTTATTAAATAAATCTTACATTATTCTAAAACAGTCAATAATGGATACCCCGCGGAACCCGCCGGACACCAAGCCTAGTACTAATTAAAGATACTAGACTATTTGATGTAGTAGTAATCTTTTAAATCAAATTTAATCAACTAACAGACAAACTAATACTAATTAAATATATATAATTTTGTTGCGATACCTGTTGGTTCGCTGGAGATTCTAGCCAACTTTAGATCCCAGAAGTCCAACGGCTTCTTATGACCAACAAAGGAAATCAACGCATACCAATCATCTTCAATGTACGCGAACTAACCGGCTCTGTATGAAATTACATAAATACCCCTACTTATATATCCCTACTAAATAGCCGCTGTCGTACGAAATTACATAAATACCCTTACTTATATAACTAATTACTAAATTAGAAACTAGATAACAATTTCTCGAAGGACCAAGACAGTGGAGGACGGTGGACCCAAAGTCACAAACACATCTCCTTCTTCCCACTCGGCTGTTCCGCTGTCCGCATTCTTCTTTCCCCAAATCAGAAGCATACCCTAGCCGCCGCTACCACTGTCTTCAAGCCACTTCTGCCACCACTACTGCCGGCCTTCGATTGAAGAGCCCTTTCTCTCCGACTCCCAGTTTGTTGGCCACTTCTGCCACCACCACTGCCGCCCTTTCTCTCCGACTCCCAGTTAGAAGCTACGGTAGGCAAAGCGAACAGGCACTCTCCGACTTCCACCACTGCCGCCCTTTCTCTCCGACGCCCATTTCATCAGCTCCATTGGTGGAGGGCCTCGCGACAGGCAAAGCGAACAGGTTGCCCTTTCTCTTCTTCCCTTATTAATTTCCTCTTTCCTGTTAATGGCGACGGAGCTTTCGTTAGAATTAGATCGCCTCTTCTTTCCCATTTCCGTCCCCAATTTCAATCAATTTATTTAAAATTTCTCTCTTCTCGGGTATTCGCTTTCTTCTCTCATCTCATGGATTTTAGACTGTCGCATGTATTGAATTGTTTTCTATATCATGATCGGTGAATTAAGATTGTACTGATTATTGATTGGAAGAAGGGTTTCTGTCAATGTATTTTTTTCTCCTTATTTTTTTTTTTGAATTTGGATCTGTTATTATTATTAGGGACTGTTTTTTGAAGATTGGTAAGAATGTTGGGTTTCTTTTCTTAACTTCTTACATACATTTCATGGAATATACCTTCTGTTTGATTGAAATACTTTTGGTTTGTAGTTTTTGATTGTTCACTTTTTATTTTCTCATTCTGGGGTAATTTTTAGCTTGTCCTGTTAGAAAATGCAAGCTGGATTGCATTTAAAAATTATGTGCTTAGTGAAATTAATCAATTTTTTATTTAATCCGTCTAATTGTAGTAGGATATTTCTTTACAATAATGTGGTCATGTGGTACATGTTACACATAAATACAGTCCTAGGTTATGTTCAAGTATGTGATGCGCGTATATAACAGATAATCAAGAAGAACTTGAAATATTTGCACGGCCTTTTTGGCTGTTGGTGATAGGAGAAAGTATAAATGTTAAAGATATGACAGATTTGTGCACTAAATGGAATGAGTTTGATGATATTTAGTCAAAGCCGAGTGAAGATTCTTGTGCAATGTTTAGTAATTTTAATGTAATGATGAAGGTTTGTAATTTATGAACAAGGTAAATGTGCTTTTTGAAGCTTGTTACTCATGTGCAATGTTTTTATAGGTAAAATTATTACTGCCTGTCTTTTACTCTGTAGTAGAAAAATATTTTAGTATTTGGCAAATATATCAATCTTTTCAAAGCTATAATTTCGTGCATGTATTATTGGACAATGAAGAACTTGTTTGTTGTTACTTTTAATTCATGTCTGGAATTGTTAAATTCAAGTTTGCAAGGCATTGAATAGCTTAAAACGTGCTATTGGAGTCAGGTTAAATAAAGCTGGTTATGTTTAGTGACAGAAATTTTCGAGCTGAATTTGAGCCATTTCGAGCTCTTGTCGAGTTGAGTAAATCGAGCCTTATCGAGTCGAACTCGAGCCAGCTTCTTACTTATTCGAGTCGAGCTCGAGCTCAATTTTCTCGAGCTCGAGCTCGAGTGTACAGTAGTCGAGCCTGACTCGATAAGTTCAATGTTAGACTCGGCTCGGCTCGTTTGCACCCCTAGTTTCAACAATACTCCAAGCTACTAGTACTCATAGCTAAAAGAATTTATTAGACAGCTATATCCAATGCCATAAAGACCCCAAACCAAGCAGTTGAAATTCAAAGGATGAGTTTGATCAAATTGACCAATTTTTTGGTTAAAAAAATCAGACAAATAACTTAGTATAAAACGACGGGGAAAAACGGATATAATTTCACCTGCAACACTCTTCCCATTATTCAAAGCCGCGTTTTTCAATTATTACCACTCACATACCCACGTCTGTAAGCTGCCCTCCCCCTTCAATCCCTTCCTATCACCCCCCAATAGCCCACCCCTTTCCCCGTTATACAAATACCCCGTACTATTCCTTGTTACTCTGACTTTTTTTCAGCTTCCTATGTTCTTCGTCCTCTGAGGTATGCCCTTGGATCTATATATTTTTTTCCATTAGCCATTTTGAATGAAAGATTGGGGCTTTTTTAAGTTGCCTGATTGGATTTTTTTGTTTAAAAATTCCCTTTTGCTAGTGGTTTTAGTTTTAATTGTCTGTTCTGGGCTAATTCTTGATTAAAATGTCGAGGGTTAGTAAACACGACGAATACAAACGGATTATAAATTGAGATGGGCTTTTCTTAATTGGGTGTAATTTGTTATAAAGATTGGATTTTTATTATATGGTTCATGTTTTTCTTTCGTTTTTCTACTTTATGCGCTTACTTCACATATCTTCTTGATTTTGCATTGCAAATTTAGGGTTAATGGTCGAGCGTGTTTGCCACATTTTACATCAGGAAGCAGTTGTTCTAACGGTTCATGTTCACTTTACATGTCCGTAGGGTTTCCAACCGACTTTCAAGCGCGAATCAATTTTACACTTGAATACTCCGCCTTTTATCGTCATTTTCCTCCTCTTATTTCTCTATTTCAAAAGCCCTAGAAAGAGGCCAATAGGTGAAAGAAAGAACAGGAAAATTATACAACCAGAGAAGAATCAATTGCATGGCTGCATCGGGTTCGGTGGTGCCGGCAAACAGGACCCGTCGAGGTCCGGTGCTTGACGCCGGCGATGAGTCGCTGGTGTTCGAGACGACCAGGGGTGTGGAGCCCATCATGACCTTCGACGCAATGGGCATACAAGATGACTTGTTGAGAGGGATTTATCAATACGGCTTCGAGAAACCCTCCGCTATTCAACAAAGAGCTGTGGTTCCAATTATATCTGGCCGTGATGTCATCGCTCAGGCTCAATCTGGAACTGGGAAAACCTCAATGATTGGCCTAACCGTCTGCCAAGTCGTTGACACCAAATCTTCTGAGTACGTAATCTAATTCGTAATTACAATAGCTAGGGCTAAGGAGTTGAGTTTTGGATTTTCTTTTGTTTAATCTTTTAGGTTACTCTGTTTAATTTGGTTGCCCTTGCTTATTTAAATTTTGGTTTGTTTAAGATATTGGAGAAAATTTGTATAGCAGTACTTCATGATTTCAAACTTTAGAACACTGGTATAGTATTAAATTTTTTTTTTTAATTTGCAGAGTGGACAAACATATTTAACCTATAGGGCGTGGCAAAATTATGAAACAGGCTCGCTTGGAGCCCTAATTGATAAACAGGCACAGTTTTTGTCTTTATGGACCTTATAAAGTAGCAATAGATAAATATGGCTTTACGCTTGATGAAACAGGCACAGCGGGGAGGACTCTAAGAGCCCTCCTTGGCCACTGGGCAGTGTTTTGATGGTGCCATTTTTTATTTTATTGGTTGGGGTGCTTCTTGTTTTGTTTGTTTCTTTTTCTTGTTGCAGCTGTTTGTTGTTCAAGCTGAAAATTTAATTTGAGATGTTTGTGGTTGAAAGTAAAATGTTGAATTAAAAGAAAAAAGAAGGTTAAAAGTTATATATGGGCAAAAATTTTATTTGGTCTCATTGGGGTATAGCGCTTGTGTTTTGTTTGTTTGTGCTTTTTCTTGTTTTCTACTGCTCAAAATAATCTTTTTCCAAGAGAAGTTTAATTGTGGGAATAATATCTTACATAGGGATTTGGAATAATTATTTTGTTTTCCATCATTTAGGGTGCAAGCCTTGATATTATCACCCACAAGGGAATTGGCAACACAGACAGAGCAAGTGATACAAGCAATTGGTGAATTCATAAATGTACAGGTGCACGCATGTATTGGAGGCAAGAGTGTGGGAGAGGATATTAGGAAGCTAGAACATGGGGTTCATGTGGTGTCTGGGACGCCTGGCAGAGTTTGTGATATGATAAAAAGAAGAACACTCCGAACAAGGGCTATTAAGTTGTTGATTCTTGTAAGTTAATATATTTCTCCTTTTTATACTTCTGACCTGTTAATTGTGAGGCTGTTGACCAGAGTCTGACTGCATTTTTTGTCTTTCTTATTTCTGAAACATTTTTAGGATGAATCAGATGAGATGTTGAGCCGTGGGTTTAAGGATCAAATTTATGATGTTTACAGATATCTTCCTCCAGAACTTCAGGTAAGCACACTTCTTGTAGGGTAACTCCCTTCCCTTAGTTGTCAACATTCTCATATGTTATGGGAAAAGAGAATATGTTGCTTGCTGTCCAAGAATTGGCATTGGTTAGCTATGTTCGATTTATCTGTATTGCAAGTCACTAACTTTTTACTAAGGGTGGTGCCAGACAGATCCTAAGATAATTAGTAACCTTCTAGAGCTTATTGACTGAGAGGCTATAAGGAAAGTAGTAGTTTTTGAGGAGAATAGTTTGCTTTTTCAGGGTTTGGAATCATTGCATGTTTTTGTCAAACTAATCTAGTCAAATGCATTTTGCATCGTCGAGAGTGCCATTAATGCTGCAGTTTTACTGCAGCAAATTTTTATTTATCTTTTATTGGAATTAGGAGATTTTTTGGTTTCTGCGCATTATCTTTTTTTCTGTTTAAGGATACTCATTTGCGGGAAAGAGATAGATTGTATTAGTGTCTGATATGCGGGAAAAACAAATAAAATTACTCGCAGGATCAATTTTATAAGTTTCTTCTAAATGGTGCTTCTATTGGGGATGTGAATGTGGATCCGGTATTTACGCTAATCATTCAGCAGACTAAGCACTATTTCATCAATTGCAGGTCGTATTGATTTCTGCTACCCTTCCGAATGAGATTTTGGAGATAACGAGTAAATTTATGACAGACCCTGTTCGGATCCTTGTGAAACGTGATGAATTGACTCTGGAGGCAAGTCATAGTTTCGAAGTTCTACTTATTGTGAATAATTATTTTATCATTAATAAGTAGGTAATTAATTTTTTTTGGCGGTTACAATGCTGTAGGGGATCAAGCAATTCTTTGTTGCTGTGGAAAAAGAAGACTGGAAATTTGATACCCTATGTGATCTTTATGATACCCTAACCATCACCCAGGCTGTTATTTTCTGCAATACAAAGAGGAAGGTAACATTATTATTTGCATCTCTTTCCTAAGATCGATTATGTTACTGTGTTGCCTTTGTACAAGAGGCACTCTGAAAGTTATGGAGATAGTGTAGAAACTTTAGTTACTTTTGCTGAGAATGAAGTTTGATATTTCAATCATATCTACCCTTGTTGTTTTCTTTTTGTTTTTCTTTATGAGAAATACATATTTATCAACACTCGAATGTGTGGTTTTCTTTTCCTGGAGTAGTAAAGCCCAAGTCAGATTTAGAGCATTAAGTGTTCTCCTGAAGCCATTATTTTTCCTCATTTGCCAATGGGTCTTAGCATAACCTCCAGGGCCTTTGGCAAAGAGACAAGTTTTTCTCAAGTAGTTGAAAATGTGTTCTTATGAACTCAAAATTTGAAGAGCTAAACTAAGAATGTGTTGCCAAATAAATATATAGTCGGATCCACCTTAGACAAATTATTATCACAGCTGCAAAAATTTAGGATGTTGAGGTCTTGCAGGCTGCTGTTTGGAGGGAAAGAATTATTTCTTTCTTTGGTTTTTTTACTTTTTTTTTTTTGGTGGGTTTTGGGGGAGTTACGAAACATTGATAACTGAAGTCTATAAAATGTCCTCACTGGTGTTTTGGTGAAAAGGCTTTTTCTTCTTGAGTAGTTGAAAAGACAACCAAAATGGACTATCTGGTTCTAAATCTGTAATAGTGAAACCCTATTTCAGTGGATAGAATGGTTGTGAAGTTTTGGATGTTAACATCTACATTAGCAGAATGATACTTGTCTGTAGGCATGAAATCAGTGTTTGTGGACGAGAAGCATTACTTAGAGGTTCGCCAAAATTGTTTAATTTAACATGATTTATAACATGACAGGTTGATTGGCTAAGTGCAAAAATGATAGAGAATAATTTCACGGTCTCGTCTATGCATGGAGATATGCCTCAGAAGGAGCGAGACGAAATTATGAAACATTTCCGAGAGGGTAATACTCGTGTTCTTATCACAACTGATGTTTGGGCAAGGGGCCTTGACGTTCAACAGGTAAAATTTAGATTCTACAACCAGCAATTCCCCTGCCAGCCCCAACTCCCCCCTCCCCTGCGGGCCCCAAAAAAGCCCTCCTTTCATCTTATTCTTTCTTTTGGATTTTACATTTTGAAGCTAGTTCTTTGTCCCTTTTTTTTTATTTGTCTGCATGATTTTTCTCAAATGCTTAACCTTGTAAGTGGAAATTCACTTGTAGTCTTTTGCTCAGTTTTCCCACCCGCTTATGGAAATAGTGATTGTGGAAAAAGTTGGTTAATATTCGAAAGCATGTTTCTTTGGAAAGCCATAATCTGTCACCTTGTCCATCTCCTAAACTGTCACCAGTTTTTATCATCTTATAATAAACAGCTATATTAAGCTTATTTTGTGCGACTATGAAAGGCCAAACTTGTCCGGGTGTAAATTCGGCTAACGGAGCAAAAAACAAATGAGGGTGGAGTCCATGCTTATCTGCTCAAATCATTTATTGTGAGCTTTCCATCTAGTTGAATGGAAACTTATCTAGTTTTATAGCATTGGACAGTATTTTTTTTCTTTGAATGTTAATTCATTTTAATGTTATTTACAAGTGGTAGACATGGATATACAGTCAACAAAGGTTTATGCATGTATGATGTGTTTATGGAGGTTGAGTAGCTGCTGCTTTTTTGACATTGTACATGTAATGTATGTGGGCTGGGTAGCTGCTTTCTTTTGAGTGCAGACTCCATTGAACATGGGCTTGGCATGCATTGCCCCTAAAACTCTTGATTGAGTCACTTGTCTGCATTTGACTTTTTATCCATATCCAATTGGCGAAGCATTACAGATCATGAAGTCTGGTGGAGCAAATCATCTGGGTTATCATGTTAAATTTTAGCCAAGCATTATGGAATTATTAATTCTTTTTAGTAAATAAAGTGCATTATTGAGTTGAATATTCTAGGATTATATGGTCCTTTATAAGTGCTGGATGCTTCCCCCTTCCCCTCCACATTTTTATGTTGAAGTGGAGTTCCATTTCTTTTGGATTCCTCTTGGTTTGCACAACCATTTTGGTGTCAGCAGCTCAGTAGACCATTGTATTACAAGCTACAGGCCCCATCCATAGCCAACCTATCTTATCCATCCTTTCTATCCATCTTAGCCTTTTCCTGGCTATCTCTGTTAGCTGTCTTCCTCACGTGGCAGCCGCTATTGTGGCCCCATCAGCACTTTCAAGTGTTGTAAGCATCTCAGTCACCTGGTATAGCAACTAGTCCCACCATTCCCAGCCTTCATATGCAAAAAATGAAGGATTATTTGCCATAAATCATCAGTGGCAATCTTTAGTTCAAGAAACTGGAGCCAATTAAATATGATGGGGAAGGGGTTCTGGGAATTGCTTGGCTAGATTATTTTTCAGGCGATTCTTAGTATGTTTCTAAGTGATTACCGTGCATTATGCATAAATTCAGATCTTGGATACGAAATTGCTGTGTGCATGTCATTTGCATGTTTGTTGCAGCTTTTCCATGTTGAGTTGATGGAACCTAACTTTTTAGTAATTGCATAAATTGTAACTAGATAATAGGTTGCCTGGAATTACACTTGGACTTAGCTTGGAAATACATCTTGTTCAATTAAGAGATCACTCAAAGATGGTTTGTTAACATATCTGGAAACCCAGAAATATATCTGGAAATTGTCCCTCTTCCATGAGTTTTAGGTTTATGTGGAATTGCATAATTCTTGAAATGCATATGTTTCAAAGTATAGCTTTTTTTTAAGAAAGAATTTAACATTATTCACTCTGGGGCCATTCTCACATAATTGACTACTTTAAGCTAGGCAAGCCTTTAATCTTTCAAATTCTGAGTAGCTATTAGGGACTTATGCTTGTTTAGCAAACCTGGGATTTTGCATTGACGGGCTTAAGCCAATAAACATTCTGAGGCTTCAATATTCCGCGACAGTAATTCGAGCTTTCTTCTAGTAGTTGTGCACCTTTGTTGGAAGTTTCTTTTTATAAACTTGTAGTTTTTCTCCTCCTAGAGATTTTTTTTTCAGGTGTTACGAGGCTTGTCGTAAATAAACCACCTTCTTAGAGGAGCCTGTTTGGAGATTGATATGTTTTTCGGTATAGAGCTTTATGGTAGGAGATTGTATATTTGTTTGTATGAGATTTATAGGTTTTCTGTATTTGCATTGTAGTGTCACTGCGCTATATTGGCCGTATTTACTTCTTCATAGTTAATGCAATTCTCTCTTTGTTTGTCTTGGTACATGGCTGGAGTCTGGTTATGAGCAATCTAATTTTCTTGTGTTTATTTAATTTGTTTAAGGTGTCCCTAGTGATTAATTATGACCTTCCCAACAATCGAGAACTTTACATCCATCGGATTGGTCGGTCTGGTCGTTTTGGGAGAAAGGTATTTCCTCTCCTTTCAAGGAACTGCTTACATTGCAATGCTAATTTTCCATATCCAATATCCCTGTTATAGTTTTTTAGATATTAGCGTGTTATAAGTGCTGTAAGATAAGTGAGTGCAAGAATGGTGTACAGTTTCTTATTTTACTATGTCCAGAAGGGGAAGATCTGTTGCTTTTCTTTCAATTTCCGCTCAGAATATCTTCTAGTTGATCTATTCTGTTGTCTGATTATGTACTCTGGAATGGCATGCAAAGTGGTTTTACAAGGTTTGTGCTGGGAATGGGCTGTCAAAGTTATGTGGGTACTATTGGAAATAATTGTGTGAAGTTTTATTGTCGTGGTTCTTACACAATTAGTTTCTATAGTGAATTCTGTAATCTTAAAATTGTGTATAGATGAGTATATTAAACGTGCGTCTCTACAGTACACACACTACACCTAATTTGCAAGTCAAAGGGAGAAAATAATATCTGGACAGTTGAATAGAGCGTATCTGTGTTATAGAGTAAGCATCAAGTTTGTTATGTTCACTTTGTTTTTTGTCTGCACACTATGAAAATAAGTTGTATGTTTGCAATGAGTTGTAGAATGGTTATTTTGAGCCTCAAAAGTCCTCTTCACTGAATAGCCTTAACGTACTCGTGTTGTTTTAGCTTCAGTGTCACATATATTATTCAATTTAAATGCTTTTTGTGGAAGGAGATAGCAACATGCACAGAGTACCCCATTTTAATTTCTTTTTTGTGAATATCAGCATTGCGCATGTTCAGTGCATGAACTTCCTACCTCAGCTTTGTTCCTCTTAATACCTATACGAACTTGCAAGACCAGTGTGATTTTGTCCATGTGTCTAGTAGATTTCTGCTGAGGCAATGCTGCTCTGTGCTCATAAAGACTATAAACGTCTAGCCAACCTTCTTGCTAAGTGAATTAGGGAGCATCAAAAGTTAAAAAGTAAAAACAGATTCAGTGAGGCTTATTAGATGCAAGTTGCTAGAAACTTTCATGTTGATAGCATCCATTATATCATATGTGTGCTTCATTGCATTCGTTGTGTTGTATGTTAACTGTATGTTAACCAAGCCCCCCCCCCCCTTTCCTCTCTCTCTCTCTCTTGCATGCAGGGTGTTGCAATAAATTTCGTTAAGAGTGATGACATCAAGATTTTAAGAGATATTGAGCAGTACTACAGTACCCAAATTGATGAAATGCCAATGAATGTGGCCGATCTCATTTAATTAGTAGATAAGACATTTTAGGGACTTCTCAACTTTCATCTGCCTGTATGATTGATTTCGTACTCGTGAATTGGATTGTCGTTCACTTCGTTTGTGGTGGCAAGAGAAAGCGGCTGACTGTTAAATGGAATATGTGTTCGCTTATTGAAGAGGACTGTCTCATGCTGAATTGGATGTGAAGAGTTGCTCCGCAAGATGAGAGGTTGTTCATTTTATTATGATATGCTGATTGATATGTATTGTTGGGGTGGATGGCAAAAGTAGTGCTGTTGACTGTGTCTTGTTATCGTATATCTTTTGAACCTAAAAAGCTGGGCGCCAAGTGTAGTACTAACAGTAATGTTGACAGGTGACTGTTTAGTGTGCTGGTCCGGCCAACTTTTTTGTTATGTATGGATCTTCGTGTAATCTCTTGGTTGCCAACTGCAACAGAACGTTGAGATGGCTTATTTTTCTCTACTGCACAATCTTTTGAAACTTGGTGGGGAGGATGCCCTTTCATTAGAAATCAGACTAAGCTTGGGGCATGGCACTTTGAATTTGGGGTATATGATATTCTAGCTGGCGACTCAACGATCCAGGAGAGGTTTCATGATGTTATTTGGTCTGCTAAACTTAGTGGTCAATGTGGTTTACGGGGTTTTTCGGTTAGCAATTTTATTCAAGGCAGCACGTTTTGCATCTTCTGCAATATTGGCTCCTAACCCCTCGAGTACTTGAACCTTAACAGGGCATTAGTTTTTGTGACGCACTAAGTGTGCTTGAGTAAAAGACTGGAGCAAGTAACTAATCTTGGTTGTAATGGGAAGAAAGAAGGGGAAGTGAAATACTACAGACTTAAGCAGAAGAAAGGTGTTTGTGAAAGGTATTTGTGCGTAAGTTTAGAAATTTGTTGATGCCGAAAGCATAGTTTTCGCTTAATTTTATGGATGGTGGAGATATATTTAAACTAATGAATTGTTCCATAAACAATTTAAACTTATAATTGTCTACTTTTACGGAGTAGGAATAACATTAGAATTAAAGTCAAGGCATTAAAATAAAATCAAAGGAAGCTTTAAAGAAAAGGAAAGAAAGAAAGAAATCACGAAATTTTTTAGGGTTATTATCACTATACTCCCTTAAAGTATATTACTATTATCAATTTATCTTCTAATGTTATTTTTTAGTCATTTCATCCCATAAGTAATTTAATTTGGCATGTTAATAATTTTTTGACAAAAAATACCCTTTTATTTTATAGTATTACTATATTATTATTATCACTTTATTCCTTTAAATTATAGTGATATAATTGCTTTACTCTTTAACATTATTTTCTAGATATTTTACCCTATCATTAATATATCTAAAAAGCATGTTCAAAATTTTTTAAATATATTTACCTTTTTTATATATAATTTAAAATAAAAATTTTGGAATAATTATTCTTCCTTTTTTTTCACTCTAAGATTCCAAAAAATAAAAATAAAAGAGTTTTTTCAAATTTCTTTTTTCACACTTTTTAATACTACGAAAAGAAAAGGAGATAGGATAGAGGGAGACAGAAAATTAGATTTTGCAAAGAAAGAAAATAAGGAAGAATCTAATATAATTGTATTACTTTAATGTCCTCGAGATTAGGATTATAATTGGGTAGTAAACCGATAAGTAAAGTAATTTTAAAACGATAAAAATATTGAATTCTTTCTTATTTGTATTAAAAAAAAAAGAATTGAACTCTCTCTCTCTCTCCTTTCCCTATTTTTCTATTTTTTCAATATTAATAAGATTGCCAAGAAGAAAGAAATTAATGTTTTGACTTTTTTTTCTTGACATTAAAAAGGAGAAGAGTCGCTCTAAATTTCTTATTATTTTTATTATATAAAAAAGATGGTACTGTATTCTAAAGTTTTTTAACTTGCTACATTGGTTTAATATTGGAATAAATTGCCTAAAAAATAACTTTAGGGGGCAAATTGATAATCCTAAATAGATAATAATTTTAAAGGTTAAACATGTCTTATCACTTGGATTAATAAACTCTGTTAAGTTTAACCGTTAGTCTTGAGGATAAAATGGCTGAAAAATAATGTTAAGGAGGAAATTGATAGTGATATCAAACGTTAAGAGAGTAAAGTGATAATAACCCTTTTTTTTTTTATTCAAATAGGGAAATTCTTGTACAGATTTGGTTTACAAACCTGGTCACAGATCCTATGGTCAAGAAGCAGTCCGCTTTGGGTTTCGACCTTCAAAAATTTTAGTTTATCTCACATTCCTTAACTTCAGTCAAGAATATTACTATTTTTTTTAAAAAAAAAAAGTAAAAAAGATGGTGTAATTACTTTGAAAGTTACTATCTTCCATTTCCATTTACAAAGAGAGAACGCTATTTGAATTATGGATTCATGACATTACTCTCTTCTATTTACAGAGAGTGATATTTGATTGCTTGATTTACCATGGGAATGAGAGAACGTTAAGGAGAGAGTTTCAAAGGTTGAAGCCAATGATAGAGGATGAGAGATTGAAGTTAGATTGAGTGGGTAAAGTTAACATCTATCTCTCTAAATCTAGATTTTCATTCAATAATTGCGTGATTGGGTTTCAACTACATACCTGATGAGAGACACGCATTGGTTTCAGTAGAGGTCATTCATAAATAAAGTTTACTCCCAAGCAAAACTCACTTGTAAGGTCCCAAAGTAACTCACGCGGGAGGAAGGGTGAATTAGGTTGATTAAAAATCTAAGTGATGACAAATTTTCATCCAATTTTTACTAACCAAATTAATCTAAGTAATGACGTACTCAAGCGGAGAGAAAGCAATAAAAATGAAGCAATTAAAACCACACAATTGGGAAACTTCAGAGAAGGCAATAAAATAAAAGGAAAGGGTTTTACAACTCTCAAGCTAATCCTCTATGATGTTACAATTGAATGCTTACTATACAATGAAGATCACAATACTAATTTCCAACCTCACATGAATGCAAGAGTACAAAGAAAAGAGTATTTTCTATCAAATCACTCAAGGAGGCTTGTATTCTTCTTTTTTTTTTTTTTCTGACGGAGTGGGTGTCCGGGTCAAGTCCTTAAAGGCGGCCCAACTAATCCCACTTCGACCCGGTCCAGCGCCCCAACCAGACCTAGCACGTTAGATGCACGGAGAAGCCGATGTTGCTGCGGAGATTCGATCCCGGGACATGAGGACCCGAGGAAGAGGCGCCAACCACCAGCCCATTCACGTGGGGGCGGAGGCTTGTATTCATTGTAGGCAAAAGTTTTGAACAAGTTCAGACGTCAAGTCTTTTATAGGTGCTGAAAATTGGTGAGACAAATTCATGCATTAAATGCAGGAAAAACTAACCGTAGGGAGATTCGGACATCCGAAGTACTTCAAACGTCCGATCATGTTGGTGTGTGTCTGAAGCTTGTGTCCAACAGCGAGCGACTTTGTTTTTCATCTTTTCTTTTCCCAAAAGTTTGAGTAACTGTTCTAACATGATTCTAATTTAAAAAGCATTAGTCCAAATCATCATTTGTCTTGTTAATCATCAAAGTCTTCAACCTCCCCATTTTTTATGATGATAAACAAAATGATAATTTTTGAGATCATGCATAATTTAAACAAGTTCCCCTGACTTAGTGGCATATGTAATAGCAGCAAAATGTAATTTAAACATATTCCCTCTTAGATAAAGCATTAAAATAAAGTTATTAACAAGGAATCATCATTATTAGTCTCCTCCTTTTGTCATCAATAAAAAATAATCGAAATACTGAATTTTTGGGTAGAATTTCCCCAATAAAAGTACTATTTCCTCTTGCCAACAATCTAAAACAATACCTAAAATAGTCACACATATTAAACAAGTAAAGAGGAGTCCAGCAAGAACCATAAAAACATACTGTTGCTGTAAGCAAACACAAGATCAATTATCCATCAACATCAGATATCCAACAAACACAATATCAAATATCCGTCAACACATATAAATCCAATTGTCACCACACAATGGATTTAGGACAAACACAATATTTTGAATTCATCATGTCAAAATCAATTCTGATCCTTTCTATAGATTCTCTCTCTTCTCCCCTCTGGCGATCATTCTCTCTCTCATAGGGTATTCTTTGTTCGTCCATGGCTGTCCTCCTGTCTTTCAGGGGGCAACCTCATCCTCGTGATTTTCATGGTATTAAGCCTTTTGCATCAATTTTAATAAAGTCATCATCCTCCAATGATTCTGTGGTTTTCACCTCTTCATGTTGGCTTTAACATTGAAAGGGGAGCCCGCCTTCATAATCTCTAGACATGAAATGCAGTTGGTGGCTGAGCCTTTCAAGAATGCTCTTGCAGGCAAGTTTCTGATGGGGAGACCGCCTAGGGAGGTTTTCAAAAAGTTTGTTGTTTCACTTGGGCTTCCTGGTGCTAAATAGGTGCTTATCAGACCAATTTTAGAAGAAGATTTTACATGTCTATGGTTTCGACACACCTGGTATGTACAAAATAAACCAATGGCAGTCTCTAAGTGGACAATTGATTTTTCTCTGAATTGGGAATCTTCTCTTACTCTGTTTGGATTTCTTTCCTAGATTTGCTTATTCATTTTTATTTTTTTTTTGGTGAGGAATGCTTTTGTGCTCTTGGAAGCTTAATTGGTTGGACCCTTCAAACTGATGAGGCGACAACAAAGCTTTCTCGTCTTTTTCTTGCAGAAATTATGGTTATTGCAACCCATTTTTTGAAAAAAAAAAGATGTTACAAAAAAATGGATTTTTAGTTTCAAAATAATCTAAAGGAAAAAGGGCCTAAAATTAGATTAAAAAAATGACATTTGTAGGTGTAGGTTTTAGAAAAATAAAAGTAAAAATAAAAATAAAAATAAAACAAAACACTTTTTTAAATAGCTCTAGGTCTTTGAAAATGAGAGAAAAAGATTCGAAAGTCATAGTTGAAAAAAGGAAAGGTAAATATTCAATCGACCTGAGGCACTCTTTCAACCTAGTTAAAATTAATTGTGAGATTTAGTCAAAATTTTCCTAATCTAACCTTTAAACTTATCACATTTTGGAGGCTTCGATATGGATGAAAACCTTAACCTAGAAGGGGGATATTGGGAGGGGAAAATGTGCCGTCCATTCTCCCACGTAGTTATTGATAAAAAGCTGTGCGTTTCAACTCGATATGCCTCCTTTGCTTGCGACACCAGGAGTGGCAAATGGGAGACTTGTGAGTTGTTTGTTGGTTTCAAGGTCGACCGCCTTAGCATTCCTTGGGAAGAAAATGAATTTTGCAGGCGCCTTGAATCAGATAGGCCTTATGCCATGGACGATATCAAGTGTGGTCCTCCATTTGCATTCCATCAAAAGGCCGTTGTTTATGATGGGGCTATCCTGATCTGCAATCTACCTGAAGAAACCGCTCATCCATCGGTTGCCTACCAGTTGGGGGCCAATGGGAAAGTCCTAAGAATGCA